TAGTGTGCTGAGAACAATTTGCACAAACAAGTCGAACCATGCTAAATATACGAGTCCGACGCCATGGGGGAAGGATTACTGAGGGTGTTGTGAAAACAAAAGCAGGTAGATAGAAGATCGCGAAGGTGTTGTGTAGACATTTATCAAAGGCAACAGTTTGCAAGATGAGCGATCGAATGGAAGAGTTGAGAAACACCTGAGGCCAGGTTTTGAGATGAGGTCGAAAAGGTGAACGGGTTAATCCTCAAGGTACTTGATCCACAGGGACAAGGCTTCTGGGTGTTCGCGCTGTCCTAATAGGTCGAGTACAAATCGATGGAATTTCGAACAAGACCAGGACTCACAGCGGAAACAAGAAAATGCCCGGACCCCATCTGGACATGGATGACACAGACTGTACCTTGTAGTGTACATCAACTTTTCTCACAGATCTCAGTGTGACAGACATTGACGAAATAAAGTGTTGCCAACGTTGAGGCTCGGGCCTCAGGCCCTGTAAAATGGAACCAATATCAATGGTTATCTCTTGATGCAAAATACTCGACCGCCTGCAGCAGCGGAGTTCTCGTACGGAAGCCTCAGAGAAATCTCGCTGTTGGCCGCTTCTAAGATGGAACCAGCGATGAGAGTGGACAGCACACTGAGATCGCCGAGGTTGATCACCCTCCCTCTACCACAATAGTTGACCTAGAAATATATGATCGAAGCTGATATCAATCTTTGGTAAAAGGCACGCGCTCTCTGCGTGATCAATAATGCATATGACACGGTAGCATGAAGAAAACGATCTTACCCTATAATTCTCGCTCAGAGTAGGCTCGCACGCAACCACATACTGTGTTGACATAAAACTCTAGCACGAGATGTGGAATGTTTGACATACCAGAGTATGCCAGCTCTTTCTATGCTCGTCGCAACATAGAGCGGGCCAATTTCTAATTTGGCGTTAGTGGCTGATCCATTATAACCAAAGAACATTTACGAAGTGGACACCCTTTAGGGAAGGCGTCTCCGTCCTCTCCAATTCCATGTGGGGGTGAATCGGTAATCAGCACCACAATCTTTCTCGCTTCGGCCCTCCAGCCAGCATTGTAGGCAGCGGCCAAAGCATCGCCTTGAGCATCGGGTTCATCTCCACCGCCTTCCACTCTCAAACTGGCTAAATTAGACGCAAAACTTCCAAAATCGGACGTGAAAGGGTATTCCTGGATGAGGAAGCTGTGTTCTTGAGGAGGATGATCGCGGAAGGCAACAAGACCAAGTCTGAGATCTTGCGGGGCCCCCCAGACAAAAGAGTATTGTAAATCTGAGTGATCCCGTTGCGCGCAGTGTCGATATACCACTGTTGACTTTCTGTAGCATCTTGGAGGAACATGATATCCCTGAATCGAATTTACCATCAGCGGAAATTTCACGCAACAAAGCGATCCTTACAGTAACGCATTGGCGCAATGCACTCCATTGGAAGTAGGATTGGACTGGTAGATCATTGTATAGAGTGCAGTGGACAGATTCGAGCAAGAAATGTGAACAAGCTCAACTGTTGAATGAGTCAATGGAATCTTTAAATACGAAGGAAAGATGCATACGACGAGATATGTCCAACATGGGGTCGCTGACCCCAAAGGCTTGATCTTCCCCTGTCGGGCTATGTTGTACATAAGGTTTACGACCCCAAAGTACAATAATTAACTGATGCCGAAAAAGAAAACATTAGGTCATGACTGGTCATAGACGAAACACAGAATTCGTTTGCAAGATACGCAGAGCCACACGAGCTGTGAGTTTGACTATAATATATTTGATTGGAAAGGGTGAAGTAAGATAAGTAATATGGCGGTCACTGTCGAGGAGGAAATATGGAGGCGAAACACTCAACCGAAAATAAGTAATGGATATCATAGTCAGTTGAATGATGTTCGAGAGAAATGTGTACGCACTCCCAAAATTGAGGGTGATGATGATCCACCCACCATCCCGGTGGGCGCCAAATCTTCCTCTCCAGGATACGCACTTGGCGTTGTGTAGGACAGTGATCATCATCTCAATCCTTCTATACTACAAGCAACTGCACGGATGTGGGAGACGTCATACACTCAGATGGAATATTCTCAGATGGTCCAACAACTCGGCCACGAGCCACCGTGCAAATGGGGAGACGGAGAGATTGCTGGATGAATGTAGGGAAGTTTAAGAACATGAACGTCGGGGTATCAAGTGTCTCGCCAGGACGAAGATGGTTGAAGGCTTTGATGGCCAGATGCTTAAGATCATGGAGGGTAATGGGAAAGCCGAACAACTGACGATAGCCATTTGCAGCTGGGAGAGGTCTTGCAAGTGCGAACTGAGGTTTACCCTTTTTCCGTTTAGCGGGCACCCACCGCTCCAAATTGGACTCTTCTGTTGAGTTGGAGATCTGAATGAGGGACGGTAAAAACCAGATAGATGATGTTCATGTGAAATCTCACTTGAAGTGCTTTCAGATCTTGTTCCAAATCATGAAAGCTGGCAGAGGGCATTTTTCGAGGCGACTAGTGCGTGTGAGGTCTGACTGAGGAACACCCAAGGCCAGGATTTGAGATTTGAGATGAGGTCGAAAAGGTGAACGGGTTAATCATCAAGTACTTGATCCCCAGGGACAAGGCTTCTTGGTGTTGGCGCTGCCCTAATAGGTCGAGTACAAATCGATGGAATTTCGAACAAGACCAGGAGTCTACTGCGGAAACGATAAAATGCCCGGACCCTACCTGGACGTGGATGAGTCGTATATCCTGACATAAACTGTACCTTGTAGTGTATCTGTACACGAACCAGACTTGAGTCATTTGGAGGTGTAAATACTAAACAGACCCTAGTAGCTTTGCTTTGTCATCAGTCACAAAGCTTAATTAAATCAGTGCATTGCGTTGAAGCTTAAGAAGACCACTACATCGTACTACCAGGACGTTTGAGGTGATGTGTCAATTGTAATGCAGACACAATAGAACTGACATTTTCCGTTAGCAGGTGAAGCCTTGAAGGAGCTCAGACACGTTGACGCACAGCGTACTACCTAAATACTATTGTATTATTGGTCCGAGGCAAGTCAGGATTTGGCCGAAAGAGAAACGTTTGAAGTCTCACATGATGATTTGTAGCTCGTCGAGATTGTGCTCAAGGAACTTTGCAACACGCAGACATCGAAACATTTCTTAATACCCACACGGGTGGGTCCTCTCTTCGTCATTTTGTCGCACTGATTTATTATGATCTATGGCTAGCAGTGTAGGCCTCATCATGAACCAAGAAGAGAGTAACTTCGACAAATTTGAGCGATATGTGATGAACAATATCCCGATTCGACTTATTCGTCTGTCAGACATGAAGTTTGTTGTGCGCAGTGATGTTAAGAAGCACTTCCGGAGCTCTGTTCCGATAGAGGACAGTCTATATCACCCCTCTGAAAGTGTACGATATGCCATTCTATCCCATCGATGGCTGGATGAAGGAGAACCAACCTACGATGATATGAAGGCGGACACAGCAGATGGCCTGGCAGGATACGCGAAGCTGAATAATTTCTGTAAAAAGGCCAGAGAGTACGGGATGGAATTCGCATGGTCAGACACCTGCTGTATCGACAAAAATAACAGTACCGAGCTCGATGAATCGATTCGTTCCATGTTTCGATGGTATCGCAATTCAGCCATTTGTATCGTGCACCTGGCACAAAGCGAGACCATTGTGGATGTAGAGCATGATGAATGGTTCACAAGGGGTTGGACATTGCAAGAACTCCTTGCGCCCGAGAGGATCAAATTCTTTTACAAGCACTGGACTCCCTTGACGGAAGATGAAGATGACAAGAACATGGAGCCGACCGAAGTAATGGAGACTCTGGAAAGGGCGACTCGTATTCCTTTTGATGATCTCTTCTTCACACCAGGTCCTTTCAGGGTGGATAAACGAATGACATGGGCAGCGAGACGCAAGACAACAAGGGCCGAAGATGTGGCTTATTCTTTGATGGGAATGTTTGACGTCAGCCTACAGGTCGCTTACGGAGAAGGAGGAGACCGTGCCTTCTGCAGGCTCATCGAGGCAATAATGCAGGCTGGTGATCCCTCGGTCTTCAACTGGAAGGGCCAGTCTGCAGAACATTGCACTTCACGTGCTATTCCCCAATCGCCCCAGAGCTACGTGAACTGTCAATTTTTGGAGTTCGATGCTGAACGAGTGGAGGTGACGATGACTAGCCTCGGCTTGCGAGTCCCTCTAGCAATACTCCCTCTTAATGTTTCTTGGAGACGATTTGATGGCTCGAGTACCTGTCTCAAACTCAAGTGCCCACTGTGTCCGACCATCGAAATTGATTTCACGTCATATGATCACACTAATTTGTTTCCAGAAGACATTGGTCAGTCTGTATATCATTGAAAAGGAATGGCTATTTGACCTGTATCCAGGAAGGGCTATGTCTGACGAATACTCGTGGCTTTATGCGTTGGGAGTTGTCAATTACTCAAATATCGAGGGATCACGCGAAGTCCTTGGGATCCGACGCAAATCAGCTGGCTTCATTCTAGCTCGAAAACCCAAGTCGGATTTTCCACCGGGAATCCAACCAACTGACTGTCTTGGTATCACAATTTTTCCTCGCCCAGAACAAAGATTCACGAGGTGGACATTGATAAATAACGGGGGTTTGGTTGCGGTTGAGTTTCCGAACATACCGGAGGGATCGGTTGTCTATATCGATCCCGACTACTTACAATCCGTGTACTTATAGGTCATCATGCACCACAGTGCACCGCCTGTCGTGGTTTCGTATACCCAATGGGTTAACTATTGCACAAGGTTTGATACGTTAAAATAAGTGTTTATCATGTATATTTTCATAGTTTTAGACTGAGACTTATGCTGTCTTTGCCTGAACAGGCTTCCTTGCCCTCGCCGGAACACCAGCGATCTTTTTTAAGACACCGGAGTGACATTTCCAACAGGAACGATGGCAACGACACGGCCGCCTGGCGAAATGGCATCGCGTCTGACTACGATAAGGAAGGAATCAGGAGATTGCAGGTTCGACCCCTGCGGTGGTCATTTTGGTCCAACTCCCTTGCTTTTTTCCACTTGATTAACCCTGTATCCTACCCAGTACACCTGCGAGATTCATTTTACTTGACGCCCGAGCACAGTGAGCCCATTCGGACTGATCAAATAGCCATGGCGAAACGGTTCTTGAGTCCCGATCCTCGACCATTACATGTTGGGGCAAGGACGCGCTTGTAGATTCACAGGTGAGGTACGATGTCGGCCAGACTCCAAAGAAAATGAGAATCATGCATTGCAAGGTGAGCATTGACACTGGATGACTGGTGTTCCTGTAGGTACTGCTTCTCGTACTATTTGAACTTGGTGGACATCGGAACATCATGATGATCTCGCGTTAACTGCGTCTATATCCGCCACCATCACAGCAAGTCCCTTGACCATGACTCTCAAAAGTATGCGAGGATCTCGCTGCTCCGTGCATACATGTGCATTGTTGTCGACAATCCGGAACTTCCGGCTTAATCTGTTTCTTACATTTTCTTTAGCTGCTCCCTCGTTATTATTTTGAGGGCATAGCCAGCAGACTAATAGATATCATTGTTAAAGGGACTATCGATTCGTACTTGTATCTGTCCTTAGGCTATGTGCACGCTCCTGTCTTTCAAAATGTCAGATTCTTCACTGCGCTGATCTAGGTTAATTGTTTGCTGAAGCTCTCCACCTCTTCATCGCGAACTTTGACTTCAAGTTGTTAGAAGCAAATATACAAGGATGATTTACCCCACTTGGCATTGCACAACCGCTGTTGTGTTATCATTGACTGAACTCATACGAACGTGAGTTTATGTGGATTCGCCAATCAATTAATCACAAGTAGCGCTGCTGCATATCGCACAGAGTTCTAAAGATAAAGATAAAGATATGCGAGGATGATTAACTGTTGACACGAACGCACGTAGATTTACAACCGTGTGCTACATCTGATGAGAATCTGGAATATAAAGAATTTCTGGTAGTATGTGTAGAGATTATCATAAGCGTTTCAAAGAGACTCGACAAGAAGCTCGTACACGGCCCTGTTATCTACCCCTCCTTTGACTTGCAGAGTGACACGCAACTTGCGTCGTTCAAACGCAGACTGATTCCAGACGGTAATGAGTGTCTGCACCTCGTCCCTAGGGCTTCTCGTGAACTGAGAGTCATATACGGCCCCAGTTGCTCTTGTGCCGAATATACTACGTATGGGAAGTGGTGTTGTAGGAACGCGAGAACCCACTGCGCTAAGTCCCTGACCCACAAGACGAGCAGAGATTCCAAGATCCTCCAGGAAGCGGGTCCAATCTGCCTGTTGAATCCCATGTTTCTCAAGTAGACCCGAGGGATAAAGAATGCGGAAACCATCTGCGAGGTTGTTTCCAGCGCAGGGGATTCTAAATGGAGGGAAGTCGTTAGATTTCACTCTTGGAGGTGACGGAGTGGAGAAGCAGTCGGGTGGAGGATCTAAGGGCTTGCGAAGGACAAGAGATGAATGTTGGGTTAGATCTATAAAATGAGGTTCCCAAATGGGTGGTGCTGTAGTCGGGGTGTATGGCGGTGGAAGATCTTCACGCTCAGTTGACATGATGGTAGTACTTGGTCATAAGACACGTGCATCATTAGCGTGGTCTTTAGCGCAGATGGCGTTGCTTACTACAACTGCTACTTAGTTCTTGTTAACGTTACGCGCGCCTTCCTCATGCAAAGTTCTCCTGCTTACAATGCGACCACTAATTCTTCATGTATCTGCTCTAAATGATCTCGAATACAACCTATTTACTTCATCTCTAAATGACCTCGCAGTTTCACCTGACCCAAACACCGTCCAAGATGATGCCCACTTTGAAGCCATGTCCGTTGGTGTCCGCGAAGTCAGAGCATGGCTACGAGGCAGATATCCCAATCTACCAACTGCGGATATTGACAAGGTTCGGCCATTTCTACGCCTTCTTTATATGTCCTAACTGTCCCGCTCAGATCCTGAAACTCTTCTACCCAAACTTGCTCCACACAGATTGTCTCACTGGTGGACAGTTTTTTGCTGCACTCAGGCTTGTCCTTCACGCTGTGTCGGGTAAGCGTGTTGATAGAACTCTCGCTTTTTTTCAAGGTGTGTAATACTTCCTCGTCGTTTGACCAGCATTGACGAGAAACTATGTACTCCAGCCCACCCAATCCCAGAAGCTCTTGAACGCTCAAGGTCAAGGTCAACTTCTCCCTCGAAGCCTCAAGTCAACGCTCCGCCAGTTCATCCTGACCGACCCAAACAAAACGCCACATCCTCAAATTCTTCCTCTCCAGACACAAATCCCTTTCGCCAGTCACTCGAGTCTGATACACAGTACTCATTATTATATGCTCCCGATCAATCTGAGACGCCTCCTGTCATACCCTCCCGTCTGCTACAGAAGATCAGCCATAATCCGTTCTTGATACGCGACAAAGCAAATGGGACAGGCCCTGCCCAGAAATCCCCCGAGAAGTACAATGATGGCAAAATCCCACCTCTTCCTCCTCGAAAACCTGCACCCTTGATTTCCCAACCACGTCGCACTTCGTTAGCCCAGTCCCTAGGCGCACCTGGCATGGTACCATTCGATGCTCCTCGCAGTATCAAACCGAGTCACGTCATGAGTCCCCTAATGAAGCAGTCGCTGGAGGCTAGCAAGCACGGTCAGGACTTGAAACGCGTTGAAGAACAGCTGGATCGTGAACGTGTTCTACAAGTGCTCAAGACGACGTCATCCGGTTCTTCTGCGAGCAGTAGGACGCGCAGCCTAAGTCCCACAAAGCAGTTCCGCAAAGGACTCGGTTCGTCTGAATCGGAAGACACATGCCCTGCACCTCCGCTCCCCCGTCGACGAACACCCAGTTCTCCATCATCAACATCGAGTTCTTTGCCGTCCATCGACCAAGTAGCGAGCGCTAGTTTAAACATCCAGTCCTCGCATACACCCACCCTTTTCCGCCCACCACGTCCCACTCGAGAGCCAACCCTTCCCGGAAACACCCTCTCAATCACGACACCCGAGGGCTCGTCCCATCTACCCGCGCCACCAACCCACCCGGATCGCAGACCTACAAATGACACACCAGAGTTCATTACGTCTTCCTCCGCGCGTCCAACGCGTTCTAGATCACTGCACCACACTGCAACGCGCCCACCTCCCCCTCCTCGACGCAAGCGTCCCGAGAGTATCCAACTCACTGTAACGTCAAGCACAACGGAGCTACCCCCAACCACATCCGCTCCTCCCCCCCACACACGAACATCCTCATTCCAAGACCCCTCTCGCCATATCTCCTTCACGAGAGACCGCGACACCACCGACGCCTCACCAATGTCCCATATTCAGAAAACTATCTCAAATCTTCAACTCAAAGCCCAACCGAAACTGGACGCGGCGCGGTACAAAGCTGAAGCAGGTCTCAGTCGGCGGGGTTTTGTTCACCATTCGCATGCGCCAGCGAGGTGGATGGAGGAAGGCGAGCAGGGGCTGATGACGAATACATATCAGGATGACGATGACGGTGCTCATGTTGATCGTGATCCGTATACGGAGTCTCCTACTGACGACGAGCCAAGCTCAGCAGAAGACCTGGAGCGGATGAAGAACTCTGGAGTACATCGTGGCTTTTTGAAGGAAACAGATAACCTCAAATGGCCAGCAGGCGAGGGATGGAGACCGCTGTAGCTTGAAAGACCGGTTAAACGTACGTTCATGTGAGAAGTCTACACTGATTGTATTATGCCCTGGGACGCTATGGATACCTACGATATGGTATTCATGAGTCATGGTTCAGCAAGCAAGGGGGTACTCGTGCACTCGTTACACTTGTCGTATCTATATCGTCAACTGTCGTATCTTCATCAGGTTTCGCATGTGATATGTTATTACAAATGATAGTGTCACTCCGTGATCTGCTTCTTAGAATAAATCCGCCCGCTTCAGGTATTCGCGCAAGATCCCGTCCCGCACTGCCAGGTTGTTCCTTCATTTCAACAAACTGCATAAATCACATGAGAATACAGAAGCACACACCAGATATTAGCGTCACAGACATATTCTTCGTATCCTATCGAGCAAGTGAAGATTAACAGGACTTTCGGCCTGGAACAAGGGGAAGAACCAACAATGACAGACGTCGGGTATATATGACATACCCGCGGCTCCGGAGAACAGTACCTCACCGTGTCTTTGAACTTTTGCCGAAGGTCTAGAGGCAAGTCGTTTAATCACCCTGAACGTTCGCGACACAGCAAGAAATATATACATTTGACGACATCATTCGTCTCATTTGGTCGGTCGCCGTAGCTCGGGAGATAGCGTTTCACCGTTACGCCATTTCTGATTTTCTCCTCGAGAATGTCCATCTTGTTTAGAAAAAGGATCAGGACCGTCCGCGAGAGAAGCTTGGAGGAGCATATCGCCTTCCAGAGTATGAAGGAATCCTCCAGACGGTTGACACGGGGATCTTCAAGAAGTCGTTCGTCAAAACACGATATTGGTGCGAGAAATATGACCGCATTGACTTGGTCAAAATACGGTAGCCAAGCGTGTCGCTAGCAGACATCATCGGCGGTGAGCATGAATTGGAAAATCGGCAAAACACGGACTTGTGTGCGTGAGCCGCCAACATCGAAAATCTTCCATTTCGGAGCATCGGTCTCTGCGAAAAATGAATTCAGAAAAACAAAGGCGAAAAATCTCACGCGTCACGCACTGTCATCAACTATCAAGTCGTGTTCCTGAATGTCAAGCGTGCGCAATCGAGCACGAAGGACGTCTTCATCCGTTGGCTCGTAATCTCGTACCGATAATCGGTCGATCGAGTCCAAAAAGCTGAGGGCAGATGAATTCAGAGAGAGAAAGCGAGAAAGGAATATGAATAGGCTGACAAGCTGGCAGAGTCCTCGAGGCGGGTCTTCCGTCTCCACAGCATGGTTTGTATGTGATTATCCCTCCATAGGGCTTTGATGTCATCTTTGCCATTTGCGATGACATCTGTGC